GGTAAAACAAAATAGTATTGGTTTGTTTTGTTCGGTTGGTTGAGCGATTGATGTTGAAAATGAGGAGTATGTACAGCATTTGCTCCAAAGATTGATTCCTACTACTGTAACGTATGCAATGGTGTCATGTTAGATGACGATCGTATTACATTCTATGCACTATGGGAATATTTAATCACATTTACTAACAATCATGTGTTTTGTTTGCTAATCAGCATGTAAAGAACTATAGTTTTGACATGGTTTCACTAACAATGATCAAAATAATCACAGTGTCTTTTTATGATAGGGCTCAGTACATTCATCTCATTCATTAATATGTGTTTACCAACCTTCACGCTCAGAGGCACTTGTAACATTTATCGAGCAGTACTGCACTGCACATGTATCCACTTCATATGCTAAAATATTACTCCTCATTCTGTAGTGGCAAGCGAGAAGAATTTTCTTAATAAGGAGCGGAATTGCCCGATTCGGGCTATTAGCGCTGAGAATTGCTTGTAATCTGGCATGCATGGCCGGCCAAACAGCTTCAAAATTAAACCAAAGTGTCTCTAAGTTTATGATCAACTGCTTAGTCGCAATTCATGGTCATGTACTCAAAACATCTTACTATTCCAGACTGTTTCTACGTGATGGGGAGTTGTTGCTCTGATAAACTAAATTTGCATGCAACCATTTTTTGTAGACACTGTACTGTATATCTGGAAGCAGCTACAGTATGTAGTAGGAGTAATTTTAAGAAATGATATGTTTGCCATTGGCTATGGAATGATGGATTGTTTTTTTTACAGTACCTCTATAAATCTATAATTTAAAATAATCACCTTTTTTCCTTTACTGTAATTACTATGGCATTCATTTATCTAGACCTGCGTTTTGTGGTAAAATTTATTGGTCAACATACAATACAGTATAGGTACCATGTCAGGAAGCAGTTAATGCAGCAATTGTGGTTGCACTTTCAAAATCTGGGCTCAAATCCTATGCGGTCCATTTCATCAAGCATTCTTAGGCAAGGCATTATTGATTACCTGTCCACACTGAGTATTAAAAGGTACCTAGAATTATTATATAGAGTGGCATTAAATGCATTAGTGGAGCAGGATTTGCTCCTCAGGAACACAAGAAGCTTGCTCATTGGATATTTTTATCAATATGGATCGGTAATATCGTGTAAGCTCTTAAACACAATTTGTTTATTATTAACCAAATAAATAACATTATACTTAATATATGTTGCCAACAAATAATGATACTGTAAACATCACTAATTTTGACATACTGTAAGATTAGTATTAGTTGTTAGTTAGTATCTAATTACCCACAATTCATGGTTGAATGCTAGAAGCACCTTGCAATCCGTTATCAATTGATATGGCCTTCATAAAAGCTGGAACATCTGCCAATGACCAACCAAGATTATCGCAGGTAATCTTGCCACTAATGCTTATGCGGACCATTATAGTTCCTAATAACGTCTTCAGATAAAATCGCATTAGCTTGAGTGGTAAAGCAAACTAGTAGAAAATTGCTAATAATTGCTGTGATTTCTTTGTATGGAAGGTTGTAGAAATAAGTGCAGTATACTGTACCATAAATAGTACAGTACAATAATATTCAAAACATCAACACCAAATATTCAATATACAGTAATGATAAAGAACAAAATAAATTTATTTTTCTTTTTCACCCAGTTACAAATATTTAATTATAAATTTTGTCTAGGGCCGTGGGGACCTGTGTCAGCTGCAGTGCAGTGCCAGTACCAACATGTAACGGATGCGTTGTTCCTTAATTTGTTTAACTCTCATGCGAGGGTTATTCGAGGAGCAGAGTGGACTGACTCTTATTAAAATCTGATGCTGGCCGCGTTTGAACCAGGGTCTTCAGCCAGTGGCGTATCTAGAAGTCTTGAAATGGGGGTGCTGGTAGGGTGGAGCGAAGGTGAAGTGGGGTCCAGATGATCAGTTGAGGGGCGCTAATTCGCAAAATACTGTAATTTTAGGTGATTTTTAATTACTTGACCGTGAATTCTGAGGGATGACTGGGGAGGGGGCACAAGTAATTCTTGGGAGCGTGCGTCCCCACCCATTCCCCTACATATGCCACTGTCTTCGGCACAAGAAGCAGCAACATTTACATTTCCACCAATATGCTCAACTCAGGATGTAGGCGGCATACTGTACACACATTAATAAGAAAGTGGTAAATAGATTTAGATTAGTCATGGCCATTTCATTAGGTGTAAGTAAAATGTAATAATGTATTTTCCTACATTTCCAGTCTGCTGTACTGTAATTACAATACATCCCTTTGGTCTACTTAACTAGTGGTTTATCTATCACATCCTTTGTACACTTTACACCACTGGCATATAGCCTTTCATTAATTGGTGTATACATGTATTATTATTGTACTATACTGTTGATGCAGGTATTTCCTGTTTTAGTTGTAGGAGCATATTAGAAACTGATTTTAAATTGGAATTGAAATATATAAAATAAAAATTTACATTGATAATGTGTAAAGATAAATTGATTTGGTCCTTAAATCTCATTTTTAACATTTAGCTGCAGTTATTGTGAGGAATATGTAGGTGATAGATACTTGATCCGTTTGAAAGTGCATAGGAGTGAATGTTATATGTGCTGTACATGTGCACAATCATTGACCATTGTTTATGCAGTAGGCGAGCTTAGTTGCAGTACAGTATGTCTATGTCTAATAGTAATAGCATCCCATGCTTATCCTAATTACTGTAGACAGTTTCGGTAGTAGTATGCATTGGAAGAGCATAAGCATGACAAAATTTGCTTGAGTTCAGTGATTAATAGCCCATGCTTAATTCTAATTAGCTAAGTACAATCTTTCTACAAATTGGCTTTCTATATTTATGCATAAATTAATAATGCTTCTGTGTGACCTTGTCATCTCTGTAATTTCACTTGTGCTTGTCACCAAAAGTGACAACATCTGACATCAGTACGATTACTTTCAATTCACATTATGCAACATATTGCTGGTTATAACACATACAACGGTGATGAACAATTTCACTAGCTTAAGTGGAATTAATTGAATATTACAGTACGTAGGTCTTGTTTGCATCCATACATTGAATATTGTATGCCATCGTCAGTGTCATTCAAATAGAAGTCCTGCAATTAGTAATGATATTCAACAATTTGAGCCCTCTATTATATCCTTCAAAATTTATATGCACTTTTCTATTAGTTGTAGTCTTTAATTTTGGTAATGCAATATGGATGCCTACTAGTCGGACCAAAAAAGTAAAAAAAAATATTTATATTTCCAACTTTGTGGAACTCCATACCAATCTCCATCAGACAGTGTGTTACTTTAAACTCTTTTAAAACCAAGCTAAAGACCTTTCTTTTCCTTTAAGTTTTTTATTAATTTAATATGACATCCTTATTCTGCTTTTTATGTACAGCACATTGAGAGATTGCTTACTTGCACTATAAGAATAAACTATTATTGTTATTATTATTATTATTATTATTATTATTATTATTATTATTATTATTGTATTTCACAAACATTTGAATTGGGCATTATATGTTCCAAAATATCTCAGTTTAAAGTAGCCCAAAATTACACACTTTGTCTGTGCTCTTAACCCAACTGATCTTGGTCAGAATTTAGTTTCGACCCCCTTTAAGAACCTAGTCCCCACCCATGTGGCGAATCCTGGCTACAGTACTCCACTGTATACAGGGTAATTTTCCACAGTACCTGAACTTCAGTGCAAATTGCGGTTGCTCAACTGAAAGCAGGGGCGGATCCAGAAATGTCCAAAAGGGGGGGGAGCCGAAAGTTGGGCCGATTGAGACAATACTGTTGTAGGTGTCCGGAGAATGCCCCGCGAATCTTTTGTGTTCTAGATGCCCGAACATAACATTTGAGGCATTCTGGGTTATCATTTTTTCTTTTTCTCTTTCTTTTTTCTCTTTTTTTTTTTACCTCCCAAAATCCGCCCTTGGAAAGGCACACTAAAAGATTATCTGGATGACTAAAAGACTTGCATCTTTATAGTATATCTACATCCCTGCAGCATGATTGGCATCATCTTTTAGCATAGAATACTTTATTAACTTTACTGGAATGAAATTAATATTCCTGATTGAAATACAGCACCAAATGAATAAAAGAACAGATTAAAAGTATGTCTGGTCTCAGTATTTCACTGTCTGCTTAAAGTAGGTATTGCAAATTGACTCTACCTTAATGCAATCTTTCACTACAGTGTGGTCTATATTGTCGATTGATTTGATGCACTGTGCATTAGTAATTATACTACATGGAACCTTTAACAAATCACTGTGAAAGGCTTGATTTACTTTCTGGCACTGCCTTGCCTAATTAATGGCAGGCATGATGTTTTATGCTTATTGTATATTGTTATGATAATGTTGATGATACCTTTTAGGAAGATTAATGTTGATGATGAATTTACTTATATACTAATGAATGCGTTCTATTTATTTAATTATGGTTATTAGTAAGCCAATCATATGTCAATTCATAATAATATTAATAGTATGCTGAATATAATAGTGATAAAAAGCTTTTACCCTGGTTTACAGTAGTTGAAATGTACAAATTGATGTTTTCAAAATTAGAGTATTGCTATTGATTTGGTGAATATGACATATGATAATGGTATGATAATAACCTCTACAATACTATGTCATAATTATCATACAGTTATTTTAATTGTGTTGTTTATTTTTGGTAGGTAAAACAAATATTCTGATAATAAATATTTGTAATACTATGTTAAGTTTTATTATAAATAATTCATATATGAAGTGTTAATGATAAGTATATAAATTTATATTTAAACACTCGTAATAATTATTTTAATTTCTATTTTAAATCATTTACAGTATTATAGAATAGGGATTAATAGTGATTATATTTATGGTAATTGATATTTAATGTAAATTATTCATTTTTTATATCTCAATCCACAGATTTTCTATGTAATTGGTGTAATTGAACCTCTTCGTAAACTAGCAGCATCCAATACTGAGATTGCATCAACGCTCGCTCAGCAAGCGTTAACCGTCATTGGTGAGGACATCCCTCACAAACTCAGTTACAATATCTCAAGTTGGTCCCTTGATGAAGTCGGGCTCTGGGTTGACAGGAATGGATTTGATGAATATTCGGAAAACTTCAAGAAAAATAAGGTTGGTTTCAAAAGCCTAAATAATCTTAATAAATGTACAGCATAAACTTGATAATATTAAATAATATTCTGGCTGTATAGAGCATGTGAGGCTCAGCAAGGCCTTTATGCACTTTGTGTAACTGATTTATGCCATTTAAAAAAAATTAGGAATCCCTGTATAAAAGTAATAGAATAGTTTGTCTTGTTACATACAATAGGGATTTACAGAATTCTAACCCAAAATTGCTGTCATTATTTAATCATTGTTCTCTCTCTCTTGTTTCTTTTATATTCAGTTTTTTTTAAATTTTCAATTTATGTTTATTTTTTGTTTTAAATGTAATTTTGTCATTTAACCTTGACCACAATGAGTGTGTCATCCAGAATAATGGATGTTATTGTATGTAGCATGTGACTCAACATAATAGATTAGGTGGAGTAGGTGTGCATTGTGAGTATTGTACTGCAATATTACAGTGTAAGCTAAAGAAAAGACCAAATATTTATCTGTAATTTACTTTGCCTTTTTTAGGGATTAATCAAGTAAGCATGGTATGACTAGATATCATCTTCGTAAAATTATTCCATCATCACATGATCATGTTGCCTGGGTACGTGACATCTCCATGGATAATAATAGATTGTGAGATCGTGATCTTATGTGCTATTGTTGTGAGGTCATGAACTTAAGACCACAGTCTAGTTTTCCATGTATTGACTGAATCCCCCTTGAGGTGTCAAGCTATACACTGGAGCCAGTATCTTCTGAATATTCACTTACAAAATTCAGGAACATTGATTTTTGTTGCCAGAGATATTAAGTCTGAGTTGATTTAGTTAATGTATGATAAAACGAAGGCCACATAAATTTAACTTGATACATTTTAATACTTAACGGGATACATTTTAATACTTAACGGGAGGGGAGGTTTCTTTTCCAAGAAGATTGACCAAACTTGGCTGATGGATCAGGGGCTCCCTAGGGCCCCACTGGGGTCCAGGAGCAAAGCCCTGGTGCAGGGGGAGGCGATCTGGGCATTATTAACAGTATGTCAATGACATTTAAGAGGCTGTGAGTAGGTGAATGAAAATATTCTCAGTATTTGTACCTGTAATATGATTTCAAATTGCAAAAATTTGAATAAACATTAGAAATTTTCAGTTTGAAAATGAATTGCATTTAAAAAGTTATTTTATTAAAAAAAACTCAATTTAATGATTTTTTTTAAAACTATTAGAATGACCACAAAATACAACTTTGATATTACACTGTGTATCAGCAACACATGACATGATTGAAATTAAATATTCTAACTGGACTCCCAGCCCCCCCCAGTATAGGAGCCTGTTCATTGTTCATCTGTCTATCCGTCCGTCTATGTTTACTTATTCAGTTGTACAGTATAAATACTGTAATTTACAATGATTGGAAACTCTCGTCTGTTGTTTGTGGTTTTTTTTCCTTTGTGGTTCATTATTCTTTTGCTACTTGGGTATGAATAGCTGGTGGATATAAATTTATTTAATCCCCATAAATCTCTATTCAGGCTGTTTCCATCTATATTCACTGACATTTCATCTTGTATTCTGTATCAGGGTTTCAACGAGCAATAAATTATACAGCATTATTTTTTTTAGTATGTTAGCCTTCTTACAACATTATGTATTAATACTACAGTATACTCACACATACGACACATTAGTAACATTCAGTAAATGAATAATTAAATTTATTATGTCAGCTTGGTGAGAACCAACAAATGCATTGATTATTTTTGAATGAAAATAGAATGAATTTTACTCAAAATAAAGAGAGGAATGCCATGATTCGATATCAACTGTAGTGGGTCATCTTTAGGATTGATTTCTGAAGATGACCCAGTAGAGGTCGAACGGCCAATCATTGCTGGTTTTCTGTGGACGCTATAGTCACAATAGCTAACCCTCCTCTTTGGATAACCTTTCTTGCCCCCTTTGGACCATAGGTCATTAATTTCTTCTAAAAAATCCAGGATTTGCCACTGAATTCTCATACAGTATTCCTAGTTCCTGATGTCACTAGGAGTGTTAACCAAAGTCTGCAAATTTGATATTTTTGGAAAAGGTTAATGGCTGAATGTTGGGATTGTGTTCCTGGCCTTTGAATGATTCTAATCATTGATGCATTACATCAAAGTGGTTTCATTATTTTTCTTATTTTGTTCTTTATTATGATATTTATCCTCGTTTTGTATGTTGTTATTAGTAATTTTGTTTTATGAAATGTTTTGTTCTATATCAATATTTATGATGTTTTTAGTTGTTTTTTTTTAAAGATATTTGTATAAACTAATGCAGAGCATTGTATTATCTTCATTTTTTTTTTTTTTTGAGATAATAGAGAATATCTTATATTTTTCAAATTCTGCATTAGTTAATGCATCTCCTGGATTTATGGAGATTTATTACTTATATTGAAATGATAGAATTCTAAAAATAAACTACTGTAACACTGTTTTTCCTTTTTTTTTTACTTCTTTCTTGTCTATAAAATTGATTAGGTGGATGGGCATCTGCTAATGACAATATCTACTGACGAGCTGAAGGAAGATATTGGTATCTCAAGTAGAATCATGTGCAGGAGGTGTGTATGCTTAAAAGAACTACTTATTCCATTCATTTACCATTAAATTAATTTATTTTAATCAGTATTTTTGAGCAGTTTTTTTAAATTTAAATTGTAATGAATTACTGTAGCCAAAAGGAGATCAGTATAATATTTAAATCTTCTTGCTTTAATGAATGCTTAACATTAGGAAGCTGCCAGGAAGGGGTACTTCCCAGGAAGGGAAACTTCCCCAGGGTATTTGTTTTTAGGGAATTCCCCCAGGGAATTTATCTGGGCACTTTCCTATTCAAGACACTTTATCAAGGTACTGTAATACAATTAGGGACCAGGAACGTAACAAGTTACAGTGTTTCGCCTTCACAAAAATTACTCTTCAAATTATAAGAATCCAGAATATAAGCAAAATACTATTTCTTACATACTGCTTAAATATGTTTTGTAGTCAAACCTATTTGTTGAATTTCCAACCAAATTTCCCTGTGTTAATAATTAGTGCTTTTTACTGCTATGTCAAACTTCATTACCAATTTAATGAGAGTACCCCTAAGTAGTATGTAGAATACCAATGTCTTTTTCTTAAAAGATTCTTGTTAATGCATCTAACAACACATTAGTATTCTAAAGGTGGTCTAGTCTCCTTACTAAAGACCAACATTTTGCAATCATATCAACAGCTGTGAAAAAAAAAACCTCTTGCTTGATGGACTTTAACCTTTTTAAGCTTGTCATTAAATCACTGTTGGTTTATACAATTATAGTACCATTTTTTTTTATTACTGGCCTTACCATAGTAACCTACCTCATGAAAATGTACAAAGTATAATTACTTTATATTAAATTCTAAGTACTTAGGTCTACTTATTTACAATAGTTGCCCATTTTTTTCATTTAGCAATTCTCCCATATGTTTTCTATGTAGTGGTTTTGTCCTATACTGTATGTATACTTGTTGTTGTGAAAATCGTCTTTTCTTGCATGAAGTTGGAATAATTTTGATGATTTATTGAAGGTGTTTTGACTATTAAAAAGAATGTTTCTTCCTCAATAAATGTTAAAGTAATACCAACCACTTCCTGGTAATTCTAAGAAATCTAAGAGATGCTGTACGCTTAGCTTTATTTATTTTTAAGACCAAAGCACATAAAATATACAATAGACATAGAATTAAGAATATATTCTTTAATAAACGATAAGCAGGTAATACTAGGAAATCTAAGAAGTAGGCTTCAGTCTGTTATTTACAAGATCAAACTACTAGAAGACAGAGAATTAATAGAACATGTATACTTCCTCGATAAATAGGTAATGCTATGATATAGGATTAACCGGTAGTTCGGTCTGAACTTGGTAAAGAATATCAATTACACCAATCATTCAAAAGTGATCTTAGTAAAATTATGCAAATATTATGAATTTGCAGGAGATGGTTTTTTTTGCGGGAGATTCTTTGTTGTGGGAGTGCGATAGGTCATTCCGATTTCTGGACGACTCCTGCATCCTTTATGTGTACATGAGCTATATTGCACAAACAACCAATAGCTAAAATGTCACATTGGAAAGAGAGTGCACTTAACTTTTACAGTAGAGCCCCAAATTGAAATAAGTAATGTAGCAAATGCAATTGAACCAGCGACCAAGACCTTAAAGGGCCTCCACGGTCCAGCGCACACACAGTAGCTACCACCAAGTATAGCAGACTGAGCTAAGCAGTTCTCTGAACTTGATTAACTTTGGGGCTGATTTTTATAACATGAGTTGTGATCCAAGGTTTATAGTTCTAAATTTAAATTCACATATTTTATTTCTGTTTCATTCAATGAATACATATGTATCTGCAGAACTGTGTGGTCGATAATCTAACCAAACACAATAGATGTAAACTTTCTGCAAGCTTTCATTCAGGGGCGGATCATGGGCATGCGCAGTTTAAACTACGTATTGGCTTATTATCGACAGACAGTTCCACCGATATAATAAGCAAACCGGATGAAAATATGTTGTGGAGAAGATAAATAAACTTGTGTATTTGAATGAATACATATAGAGTTGAATTTTGTAGTGAAATCTTGAATGAGTAATTGAATGCACTGTATCATTAATAAATGATAAATGTAAATTAATACTAAATAGTGATTGCAAATCAATTCATATTTTGGGTTTTTTAGTTTTATAAATTTATGAATAAATAATACTCAAAATTTGTTTTATTTATACTCTCTATATTTTATTTATTAATTAAATAAATTTATATATTTTTTGCTCTTATTTAGATTTTTACGGGAATTGTCAGTACTTAAAAGTAATTCTTACAGTGGTGATCGAGAGCTTCATGAATGGCTGAAGAACGTTGGTGCCGAGTACCCTCAATACGTACACAACCTGGTGCAATGCGGCCTTGATATGCGGCTACTGCCATATGTCACAGATGAAATATTAAAGAATGATGCTGGTATAACGAATGGAGTACATAGACTTAAAATCTTGCTGGAAGCACGGAGAATATCTGGTGGCCGAGGTATGTATGTTGGTATTACTATGATGAAGTCATTAAATCAAGGTTACCTATTAATTATTGATAAAATGAAACAAGTGACAATAATATAGCATCCAAATTTAATCTGTTAAGCAAATATTTTTCTATGCAATGTACAACCAATGTTTTTTTTTGTATTATATTTTCCAGTGGAAAGCAAATGTCTGTGTATAATATATAGAGGAAAAATCTTATCCTTGTAACAACCATGGCTCCCTCACCTAAAAGAAGTCTTGAATGTTGTTCAGTACATTCAGTACATACGATCAAATGCAACAAGTGATAATTATATACAGTAGATGCAAATTTTATCTGTTAAAGCAAATATTATTTATGCAATGTAAACACCAATGTTTTTACTTTATACCTGTATTATGTTGTTTGCCAGTAAAAGGCAAAATTATGATGTGTAACCTAGTAATAACCATGGCTCCTTCAAATAATTGATATTGCTATTTATAATTAAAACTTTGCAAAATCACTAATTTATTTTCTTCTTTGTAGTGCTTGGTTTAGAAGAATATCCTAGAGTTTTTGACAGTCCACTTAGAAAGACCAAATCTACACTCGGTCCAAAAGATCTCACTGATAGTAAGCCGCAGAAGACCCTTGATGTTTTTATCAGCTACAGACGTGCAACAGGATCTCAACTAGCAAGGTGGCCTATCAAAATTTGGTTTATTTTAGATATTGATACTTTCTTATAAATGTTATTGCTATTTCATTTATGTAGGGCCTGTAGTAAAAAAGAAAAGGCAAGTTAATGCATTATAACACACACGATTAACAGTCATATTTACTGTAATTTCAGTGATGTAATGGTAAATGAGGCATGTCGTGGCAAAATGGTTAAGTTGTCGCACAGTCCAGTACTGAGTAAATGGGCCATAAAATATGGGAGCTCAAAAAATTGCCTAAAAATCCAAATTTGTTTTTTACTCTAGATCAACAGTTTGATGTCTTATTAATCATGTCCCAAAGTATTAGTTCTGGAAGTGGTCAACAAATTGTTTATTTAACATTATTTTGATAGTTCATTCTATTAAACAATGTATGCACAAATAAATTTAAAAGGCAATTACTCAAAATCATGTTTATCTTGACAATAAGAGTGTGGTACTTTCACTTTATAATAACCGAGGCTTGAAATGTCCAATTTCAATGAATGACCCCTTGTATTAAAGATCACATACTCAGGTATCTGAAAATACCAATAAATTAAATTTCAATTTTTGCTACAACTTAGCCATTTTGCCACAACATGCCTCAAATTAGAGAATATTAATATTCATTCCTCCAAGGGATCAGTGGGAGCAGTTAGTGGAGTGGTTACTATTGTTACGGTACTATACTCTGAAAAGTAAGGACGGAAGTTCAATTCCCACTCTGGCCAGTTCCCAATCTTCCCAGGAGCATAAAGCGAGGCTTTTTTTATACCTTGTTTCGCACACTTATTATATTTAAAGATCGTCAGGGGAGGGTGGAAAAAAAAATAAACATAAAATTTTGTGTTCTTATTTAGCAAATCATTTTACCAAAAATGTCCAAACAAAGGAGAAAATAAAAAAATACAATGTTATTGGTGAATGTAAACAGTATAATAATGGGATGGTGAAATGCTTTAAATTTATATAATTAGGAATTATATAAATAGGGCGTAATAAAAATAAAGAAAAGTTTTATTTTTTTCTGGAATTTCCATTTTTTTATGGCGGTGTGCGCTAATTGGCCAAATGTAAAATTTATATTTTTACATTTGTCAATCATTATTATTGTCAGGTGGCAGGTTCGCTAAACAAGAAAAAAAAACTCATTATCAAATCCAAAAGCAAAGTTGTTCGAAAGCTGCATTAGTGTAACATGTGGTAGTGGCATATTATAGGATGCTGAGGGTCACCACTTCAAGATCAGAAATTTATTTATTTATTTTTATTTATTTATTCTTTATACTGGGTTACCTCTTCAGTAAGAAGTTACTGTTCTCCCAGAGGGCCCAGTACACATAAAACATTAAAATCTCAAGAAAAACAACACAGAACATCCAAAAAGAAACAAACACAAATTAAGTAAAAAATTACCTACCCTCCAATTTAGAAGCCTTATTGTGAACATCACTTGTGTTCCTGTGCAAAGGGCTTTACCTATGGTAGTCTCCCTCTTCCCAGTATGATAAATGCGTACCTGGTAAACTCAAACTCATGCTGATTACTAGCTGCATTTGGTATTTCCGTCCCCATGGAGCGGGGTAGGGTGCTCCATAGTTGTTTACACCAATGACCTGGCTAATGTTGTTAAGTGTATAGGCCTTGCTTGGCATAATGCGATATATTAAATCTTGAATATTATCATTATTTTTGGGGTTTTTTTAAATATCTCCTTTACCAGCCAATACTCACCTTAGGTGACTAGTCACTTTAGGTATCAACAAAAGCTCTGTCCACACTATCAAATTGTATGTGACCTGTGAATGTGATATGACCATATTTGGATGTAATATAAAATCACCATTAACCAATCACAGGATTCAGATATTTTATTTCAATAACATAGAAATACTGTCATCAAATTGAGAAGGCTGCTAAACGTAATTTCACAGTAGAACTGGAAGAAGCTTTGTTGACATAAAAAATTTTTCAATACATGTGATCAGTGTTAGTCTAACAACTTGGTACATTTCTTCTTGATAATTTCTTTTACAGTCTACTAAAAGTCCATTTACAACTGCGTGGGTTCACAGTCTTCATAGATGTTGAGAAGCTTGAAGCTGGAAAGTTTGACAACAACCTTCTGAACAGTGTGCGTAGTGCAAGAAATGGGATTGTCTATGAGTTAGGCTAAGTCATGGCTGGGGTTTGTAAGGGTATGCAATGACAACATGCCCAGAGTTGACTACCACAGGGATTGTCTATGAGTTAGGCTAAGTCATGGCTGGGGTTTGTAAGGGTATGCAATGACAACATGCCCAGAGTTGACTACCACAGGGATTGTCTATGAGTTAGGCTAAGTCATGGCTGGGGTTTGTAAGGGTATGCAATGACAACATGCCCAGAGTTGACTACCACAGGGATTGTCTATGAGTTAGGCTAAGTCATGGCTGGGGTTTGTAAGGGTATGCAATGACAACATGCCCAGAGTTGACTACCACAGGGATTGTCTATAAGTTAGGCTAAGTCATGGCTGGGGTTTGTAAGGGTACGCAATGACAACATGCCCAGAGTTGACTACCACAGGGATTGTCTATGAGTTAGTCTAAGTCATGGCTGGGGTTTGTAAGGGTATGCAATGACAACATGCCCAAAGTTGACTACCACAGGGATTGTCTATGAGTTAGGCTAAGTCATGGCTGGGGTTTGTAAGGGTATGCAATGACAACATGCCCAGAGTTGACTACCACAGGGATTGTCTATAAGTTAGGCTAAGTCATGGCTGGGGTTTGTAAGGGTATGCAATGACAACATTCCCAGAGTTGACTACCACAGGGATTGTCTATAAGTTAGGCTAAGTCATGGCTGGGGTTTGTAAGGGTATGCAATGACAACACACCCAGAGTTGACACACCATAGGGATTGTCTATAAGTTAGGCTAAGTCATGGCTGGGGTTTGTAAGGATACGCAATGACAACACGTCCAAAGTTGACTACCACAGGGATTGCTATAAGTTAAACTAAATTTGTAAAGGTACGCAAACAACACACCTAGAGTTGACATACTGCAGGGATTACTACAAGTTAGGCTAAGTCATCCACAGGGATTGTCTATGAGTTAAGCTAAGTCATGGCAAGGGTTTGTAAGGGTATGTAATAACAACACATCAAGAGTTGCCACAACACAAGGATTGTCTGTGAGTTAGGCTAAATCTTGGCTTGGGTTTGTAAGAGTATGCAATGACTACACACCCAGAGTTGACATATCACATGGATTGTCTATGAGTTAAGCTGAGTCATGGCTGGGGTTTATAAGGGTACGCAATGACAACACGCCTAGAGTTTCAATACCACAGTGATTGTCTATGAGTTAGGCTAAGTCATGACTGGGGTATGCAAAGGCAGCTCACATAAAGATGCCATGCACTTGATGATTGCGTATATGAGTTAGACTAAAACACAGCAATTGTTTTATTTACAGTCGATGCTACCCAATCGATTGCAAATTGGCTTGACCATTTTTTAACCTAATTGCTTTATGTAAGCAATGCCCATTAAAAAGAAAAATGTCACTGTGCTATTCAACTTTCCCATTTATTTGCACTATTTTATTACTAAATTAATGTATATATACATGGCTTAAGTAACAAATGAAATTTAATAGAATTGTATTAATAAAAGGAGATCAGATTAGCAGTTAAAATAGCAATATAAATGTGAGAGATAATGTAAGGATTGTATTTAGATTCAATTAATGGTGCCTCTATTGCAGATTGAGGTGCGTAGCCATAATGACTTCATCATTTTTAGAGTAGAAGAAAAATTATGTCTTGTTTCCTTTTCCATTCTCATTCTAGGAGGTAGTAACAGCCATGGAGAGCAAGTGTAACATCGTTCCTGTCACCGACAATTTCCGGTGGCCAAAACCTGAAACTCTACCAGAGGACATGAGGGCCATATGCTTCTTTAATGGAGTCAAGTAAGTTATCTATCTATAACTTGGTTCAAAATGTCTATTTATTGTGAATTTATAATTATTCATTTTTCTAGAAGTCTCAACATTCAAGGCATCATTGATATACATGGGTCATTCAGAGTAATACCAATTACATAGTCAACTCTCACTTAAAAACCAGGCTTCACAGGAATGCGTTTTCTTGATATGTTGTACAACTGACATTCTAAGACACAAAAAGTGCTTTAAAAACATAAGAAAAAAATTATACTTTTAAAATGCCACTCTTATGAAATGTGATCTGTCTCTTATACACATCTAGATGTGTATAAGAGACAGGGGTACGCAATGACAACATGCCCAGAGTTGACTACAACAGGGATTGTCTATAAGTTAGGCTAAGTCATGGCTGGGGTTTGTAAGGGTACGCAATGACAACATGCCCAGAGTTGACTACCACAGGGATTGTCTATGAGTTAGGCTAAGTCATGGCTGGGGTTTGTAAGGGTACGCAATGACAACATGCCCAGAGTTGACTACCACAGGGATTGTCTATGAGTTAGGCTAAGTCATGGCTGGGGTTTGTAAGGGTACGCAATGACAACATGCCCAGAGTTGACTACCACAGGGATTGTCTATGAGTTAGGCTAAGTCATGGCTGGGGTTTGTAAGGGTACGCAATGACAACATGCCCAGAGTTGACTACCACAGGGATTGTCTATGAGTTAGGCTAAGTCATGGCTGGGGTTTGTAAGGGTACGCAATGACAACATGCCCAGAGTTGACTACCACAGGGATTGTCTATGAGTTAGGCTAAGTCATGGCTGGGGTTTGTAAGGGTACGCAATGACAACATGCCCAGAGTTGACTACCACAGGGATTGTCTATGAGTTAGGCTAAGTCATGGCTGGGGTTTGTAAGGGTACGCAATGACAACATGCCCAGAGTTGACTACCACAGGGATTGTCTATGAGTTAGGCTAAGTCATGGCTGGGGTTTGTAAGGGTACGCAATGACAACATGCCCAGAGTTGACTACCACAGGGATTGTCTAT